GATGATTTCTCAACAGAAACTCTGCAGGCCAGAAGGGAGTGGCAAGAGATATTCAAAGTGATGAATGCCAAGAACCTACAACCAAGATTACTTAACCAGCAAAGCTATCATTCAGAATTGAAGGGCAGATAAAGAGCTTCACAGATAAGGAAAAGCTAAAGGAATTCATCACCACCAAACCAGTATTATATGGAATGCTGAAAGGTATCCTTTAAGAAGAGGAAGAAGAAGAAAAAGGTAAAGATACAAATTATGAACAACAAACATGCATCTATCAACAAGTGAATCTAAGAATCAAGTGAATAAATAATCTGGTGATCATAATAGAATCAGGGACATAAAAAAATATATATAATTAACTATTTCTTGAAATAAAAGCATTTACATAAAATTACATATTTATATGTCTTATTGTAAACTGTTACCAAACTATACTCAAATTTTTAAATGAGTAAACTATATTTTTGATTTTGAAATTTTTGTGATGTTATTTGGTAGATGTTTTCATTCCATCAAATGGAATTGATATCAGATTTACCAAAATTAGACATAGCTTCCCCCACAATAACACTGTACCGTAACTCTTTGGGCAGCAGTAAGACAGTAAATCTAAGACGCAAAAGTATCACCACACTGTTTCATCTTTTTGCCTGATGGCATCTGATGCATCATGGACCGCTGAGCTTGTGTGACTCACTCAGCTATGGGACTGAGCCGCAGAGGGGTTGTCCTCAGCTCACTCGTGAACATGACTTTCACTAAAGTTCTGAGAATAATGTTCAGGCTATTTGTACTGTCTCCCTCAGGCAGAAATGAAAAATGTGGGGTGACATCTAGTGAAAGCTTTTTCTTAACTTCATTTGGAATACGCTTCCCCCTAATTTTGTATAGAAGCAGAATATTTTAAACAGATTTTTGAAAAAAACTTTTGACAGGTTTTGCAAGTTTTGATGTGAACTTTTAATGTTTCCTCCAACAACTGATCGTGCAAACCAATGAGCAATGACAAAAGTGGTTGAGAACCACCCACAGACCCCATTTCCAGAAAGAACAACTGTTTTTATTCCCATGTTTCTGACCCATTGGTCTGCTAGTTAGCCAACTCAAATTTTTAAATTGTATTTACCACAATATGAGGAGCAAGCAGGTAATAAGAACAATTAGTCAGTGTTTTGCTTTATTTTTCTAATATATAATTAAGAGAAATTTAAGACATTCTAAAGCATTTATGGCTCTGTCCACTTTTTGGTTCTGTAAAGATATGATAGTAAAATGGCCATAGGTCTCAGCCATTTATAGTGCTATTATTCACTTTCAAAATCAGCATATATTTTATTTTTCCAGCTTTATTGTGGTATTCTTGACAAATGAAAATTGTATATAGCCCGGCCACGTGGCTCAATGGTTGAGCATCAACCTATGAACTAGAAGGTCACAGTTCAATCCCCAGTCAGGGCACATACCCAGATTGTGGGCTCAATCCCAGGGGGTGGGGGTGTGCAGGAGGCAGCCAATTGATGATTCTCTCTCATCATTGATGTTTCTATCTCTTCCTCTCCCTTCCTCTCTGAAGTAAATAAAGTATATATACTTAAGTTATTTAGCTTGATGACTTAATATATATGTATAAATTGTGAAATGATTACCATAGTCAAGCTAATTAATAAATCCACTTCATGTAGTTACATTATTATTTTATTTATGTATTTATGTATTTATTTATTTATTTATTTTTTTGGTATAATGATAAAGGGATTCGCTCAGCTAGGAAGCTTTAACAACACCCAAGCTAAAAAAATATATAATTAAAAAGAAAAGACTATCAGTATATAGTATCAGGAATGACTAGAATATACTTTAGCTCAGAGAAAAGAAATAAAAACTTAAACTGAATCAAATTCTATTTGTGTGTTACTGGTGTTATCAAAGGCCTTTAGGTCAGCAGTGAGCCAAGAATAAGACTTCATCATAATGTTTCTCCTGCTGTCCTGGGGAAAGGAATATTGTGTTCCAGATGATGTCAGATATTTTTCTCTACTGGCTATTCATACATCAGGGAAGTTTGGTGAAGATTTTTGTGAAGGTCATCCAACCTGTTTTCCCTGCACTAACTCCATGCTTATGTAGCAGCTTTTGTATTTTGACTTATTATTTCTTGCCTGGATTTGCCTTTTAGAAGGTAATGCACAGTGACAATCTACATATTACAACTACATATCACTTTCTATTGCAGAATGTCTTTTTAT